TTTATTTTATTTTATTTTATTTTTTGCAGAACCAGGGATTGAACTCAGGCCCTTGTGCTTGCCAGGGCATCGCTTATTCTACTGAGCCATCTCCCCATCTCCTGGGCAACATGTTTAGTAGAGACCTTCCTCGAGTTTTTTAAAGCTTTGAACGCTTTGATTAGTACATAGTTATAGCTGAGACCTCAGATGCCTCCCCAGCACCTCATGTGTTCAGAGCTGGGGTGCTTGGAAGGTTCAGCTCTACCTTCCCCAAGTGAATTAACCGCCCACCCATGGGGTACATGACTGAGAGGCGGGGCCTCGTGCACTGGTCAGGACTGGTGACTGTGGAGACCGTGTCTGATCCCCAGCCCGTGCTCCGTGGCTCTTTGTCCCCTTTATCTGCTTCCTGGAGGCAATGAGGCAACCCGCTCCCAACGCTGTGTCCTGTCTGTGAGCCACAGAGCCGGCCGACCACGGGTGCAAGTCTCCGAGAGTGTAACCCAAAACAGGTCTTCCCTGCTCTAGGTCGTTGTGCTCAAACATTTCTTCCCGGCGAGAAAAGCTAATGCTTCCATGAAGCATAACTGGAGTTTCTTCCACCCTGGGCGACTCTCGAGGAATCATGGCACAGATGAACGACTCGGAATGGCTCCTCAGCTCGTGCATCTGCTGCTGCTTGTTGTTTGTTTTCTGATCTCGGAAGCCAGGGAGAAGCTCTGGTAACAATGTAGCAAAATGCCAAGCTGGATCCTAGAAAGACTATGTCGGAGAGGGAGGGTGGGGGCGTCGAGAAACAACGGACCCCAGACACGCTTTCCTCGGCTTATTTACTTCCAGAGACTTCTTGAATTCAGGGATTAATTTGCCTGATTTATTTGTTTTGGCCCCAGACAGCATCCCCTCTTCCCATAGGGACAAGGGATTGAAATCGCGGCATGAACTGCTCTGGCTAATTGATGCGTCCTTTAGTCTGTGTTTCCGGCAGCCCGCGATGTGCCTTTGCTTAGAACGGGCTCCATTCACTCCTGCCTTTTGTACTTCTTTCCTTGAAATGACTCCACGTTTTGGGAGAAAGGGTCTGGCGAGACAGGCCCACCTTCTTTCTTGTTTTCAAAAGGAACAATAATCCCACTTGCTCAGCTTGAAGAGAAGCGGGCTGTAGCGAGAGCCTGGCAGCCTGCTCCTCCCGCCCTGGCCAAGCGCACTTCGTGGAAGTCTCGCTGCTGCTGAGTCCGCGACGACTGGCCCCAAGTCACCGGCCAGGCACGAGCGGCAATTTTTAATGTGTCTCCACGCTGGGCTGCCGAGGTACTTTTCAAAGCAGATTTATGCTACATTTTAGAAACCCATTATGTTACATTATGGGCTTATTATCAATCCAGGTAATATTGATCAACTTCAGACTTCCAAAATCTGCATTTATAATTGTGCCATGTAATCAAAATTATTTATGTATGTATTTTGTCTAGACATTTATGAAGCTCTAAGTTGGAATTATGTATATACGTT